AATATTTTGAGTTGTACACTTGAAACCTGTATGGTTTTATGAACCAATGTCAACCCAATAAATTCAATTAAAAAAAAAATAACCAACAGGGACCGGTTTGGCTCAGCGGATAGAGCCTCAGCCTGCGGACTGAAAGGTCCCGGGTTCGATTCCGGTCAAAGGCATGCACCTTGGTTGCAGGCACATCCCCAGTGGGGGGTGTGCAAGAGGCAGCTGATAGATGATTCTCTGTCATCAATGTTTCTAACTCTGTCCCTCTCAATTCCTGTGTAAAATCAATAAAATATATTTTTAAAAAAGATTTGCCGAAACCGGTTTGGCTCAGTGGTAGAGCATTGGTCTGAGGACTGAAAGGTCCCAGGTTCGATTCCGGTCAAGGGCATGTACGTTGGTTGTGGGCACATCCCCAGCTGGTCGATGTTTCTTTCTCATCGATGTTTCTAGCTCTCTATCCCTCTTCCTTCCTCTCTGTGGAAAATCAATAAAATATACATTTTTATTTTTTATTTTTTTTAAATATATTTTATTGATTTTTGTACAGAGAGGAAGGGAGAGAGATAGAGAGTCAGAAACATCTATGAGAGTCATCGATCAGCTGCCTCTTGCACATCCCCTACTGGGGATATGCCCGCAACCAGGGTACATGCCCTTGACCGGAATCGAACCCGGGACCTTTCAGTCCCCAAGCCGACGCTCTATCCATTGAGCCAAACCGGTCCCGGCAAAATATACATTTTTAAAAATAAAAAAACAAACAGCTTTCAAAAGGCATGAAACAGAATCTTTGTATCCCTCCTTAAAAAGCTTGTGAAGTGCCTGCTATTTAGTAAATGTTTGGTAAATATTTAATCAGAACCTGATGAAATCAGGTGGGTGGTTTAACACTCTCTGTAGCTTTTTCCATATAAAATATGAATACTTTATTAATGTGTACACACTTTGGAGTTCAGATATCTTAGCAACTATTTATTTAATTCAAAAGATCGAATCCTAGAGGTTAAATGACTCATCCAATTATCACAAAGCTATTCCATGCCCTGCTCAAGTGTGGACTCTATCTCTGGATTCATCCTTTTTACAGAATAACTCTGTATGTCCTTTTCTACCATGTAGTATCTACGCTGCACTTGCCCCTTCAATGATATATACTACTTGACCACTAGTACTGTTCTTTGATGCAATTATCTTACAAATATTGATCGCCAGAGAAATCTGATAAAGATGTCTTAGTATTTAACAACAAAAAAAAAGCTTTTTACTTGAAATAACGCTAGCATTCTTTTTTTCCTCCTAGCAAGCCATTCAAGTTCTGTATGATACTGAATAATAATAATACACCCTAATTCCCAGGATTCTATGAAACCATCTTTTGTTGATACTTTAATCTTCTTTTCAATTTTCAAACTACTCCTGTGATTAAGTTGGATGGTATACCAAAACTGGTGGCAAGAATTGTAAGCTATCAATTTTGAAGGTCAGTTTTTAAGCATTTAGCAGTTATACTTGCAAAGACTTTTTAAAATACCTCTCCCACTAACAATAAAACTCCTTAGCATAAAAAGTAATTCTCCCATTTCTCAAGGTTCTGCAAAATAGAAGGAAACTTTATAAATAGTCCCAAATAAAATTTGTAAACAGCTCTAAACAAAAAAGATGCTCAAGATTAAAATGCTGGTACTTGTTAAACCTTCTAAGTGATCAAGCTGAGCATCTGGTAATGGCTATTTCAGAATAACTGATTATCAAAGGGATCAGAGGATTATGAGGGAAAGATGCTGTTTATGGTCATGAAACAAACTGGCTCACTAGGGATCAAATCAGCATATTGACTCTAAAAGGGCAGTAGACTCCAAGCTACCAGGACCTTCAAGATCATGATCAGATGAGGAAATGCCTCTGAGTGAGCCCAGTTGAGTCTCAAGGCCATTACTGCCAGCAGACTGTTTATGTGTAGCACTGAAAAATACTGTGAAACTAAGAAAACTCAACCAAGTTACTTGAAGACTGTTTCTGCCTACAACCTCTAATAGACTGATCAGCTCTTTTAGCTCTGGAGCCAGAACTAAGCAGAACAAGTATCAAAGAACTAAAGTACCACAATGAAAAACTAGACAAGCAGAAAACAAAGGCATATGTTTCTGAAAAAATAAAACAAAAAAATCAATGTAGAGGAGATTGCCCTGCATCGTTGGATCATTCTGGACTAACACCACGTAGAACTTTGACACTGTTGCCTCTCCATTTCTATCCTTCTTTTCCAGGCTGTGCCAGAGTTCCTTGAAGTGACCACAATAGCCAATTCAGGCGCATTCTACCTCAGTCTTGTCATTTATTTTCTGAGATACTGACATCAAAGTTATTTTCACTTTTAGCTACATAGACCACATTTAATATTTTCCAAATGGCAGGGTATGTTTATGGTTACAGACAAAAGTATGTGTTTAATATGGTTTAGTGGCATTCTATATAATTAATGTGTTGAAATCTTCTAACTGGAAATATGACGAATTATATTTTCAAATATCAACATTTTTACCTTTTAAGGACACATAAAAGATTTGCAAGGAATATATGCTATGCATGGTAAATAACTCCCCCCCCACACATATCATTAATCTTTTTAAAATATATTTAGAAATTTAAGACCAGGAGCAAGCATTTGTCAGACTAATTTTTTGCTTTTTCATAAGTGCAACTTTTTAATAAAAATTTACATCTAGATAAACAATCTTCAGATTTTTTGAAACTTTAATAAGATTTTAAAAACATCATAACTTTTAACTGAAAAACATACACATTTAGCACACAAATATTGTAATATGAATCAACTCCAACTCTATTTGAAAACATGTGAATCAAATTACAGTTTTAGAAGTTAATAATTCACATTTAAGCAAGTTAGCGCCCTGCTGAATTCAGCCTTTGTAAAAAAAGAGACTTAGTGCATATTGTAATGGCACAATGTGCTTCTGTACCATTTTGTTGATTTTTTTCACCTTATTAAACATCATCAAGTTATTGAAAGTTGGTAGATAACGGCTAACTTTCTAGGACGTGAATTTCCAATGGTAACAGTTACATTTTATAACAACACTTTCTATAGATTTCTTTTTCTATCTTAAAACTTTAAAAGCAATCATTTGTAAGGATTGCATCAACATCAATTTCGCAGAGGAAGATCAAACTTTATTGAAACTGCTTGCATACAAAATATATTGCACTATAACCAAACAAATGTCAACATAAAATCCAATCTGTTGTCGCTAATATGTACAGAGAATATTGCCCAAGAGCAGTTACATTACAAGGTCATTCTACCTTGGTTAATTATCTACAGTATTTTAAACCAAACAGCTTACAGATGATGTGTGCAAGGTACCAATTTCTGTTTTCAAATACTATACATTCCAAGAATAAATAACTAGAAATCAACATTAATTTTGGCAATACTTTTAAGAGACTTTTTAATATTCTTGAAATCATGTGCAGTTTGTTGCCATTTTATGTTTATTTGTATGCAAGGAAAAGTAACTGTAAAATGAAAATTCAAAGAAACAAACACAAAATACATCAGAGGCAGAACTTCTGTTTGTACGGCTCTACAGATTCAGTGGTACCACGGCTTGGGAGTTACTTTTTAAGAAAAATATAACATCTTAGAGTGAAGGTCCTTCACATAATTTGCCTCACTAAATTTCACCCATAAAAAAAAAAAAGACTTAAAAACAAAACCAAAACCAAAAAAAGACTTAAAAACAAAACTAAAACCCAACACATCAAAAAAAGAAAAAGAAACAAAACAAAAAAAGTTATTTGTTAACCAATCTTAGTCTGCTTTCCAATTCTGCTTACCTATGCATTAGACCTAATATTTCAAAGTTTACAAAACATTTAACCTGCTTCCAATATTTCTTAGACAAAGTACCTGTACTTTACAGGTTTATTATGCATACATAGAAATGACCCTCCTAGCTCCCCAAATTAAGCCTGAAATTAAAATATGAAAAACTTCACAAAACAAGGGGAGGATAAAATAAAAAAATGCGCTAAGTTAAAACTGGTCATCAGGCCAAAGAGCAGGCATATTTTACTAACTTTCAATCAAAAAGATTTGCTCCTAGCTGAAAACATTTTAGCCTCTCTCAAATGAAAAGACAGTTATTTCTTCTCCCGTCTATTCAGAAAAAAATTACACAACCCTCTCAATAACACTATTTGTCAAACTTCAGTGCAACAAAACAAACAAAAACAATCCTATTCTTTATACTGCCTAACCTGATGTTTATGCAAGGAACAAAAGTGGAAAGCATGCATTCTTCTATAAAGTACTAATGTTTGACAGGGTTTGCAACATCTTTAATATTTAGTGTTCCAACTTATCTTCCCTGAACTCTGCATCCAAATATAATATTCCTACCTGCCAAGATATAGAAAAGGCACAGATCATACAACTTTTTTTTTTTCTTTTTTGCTAATGGAATGACAAATGTCACATCACACACATTTCAGGGTCCACTAAAATACTAGAATAGTGGACCAACACATAAACTGACACAGGACATGAAATGACGTATTATTTCATTGACTTCTAAACAAGACTGAAAACATAAGTGTAATATGATTACCATAAGTGCTATTTATTCAGAAAAACTGAAATGTACCAGTGTTATCACCTATGTAGGAAAATGATCCAAATTAACAAAGGATATCACTTCTCAGTACTTTAAAAAATAAGCCAAACTAAAATCCTGTCCAGAAGTGCTAAGTATACTTAAAAGCAGTGCTTGGAAATTTCAAGATCAAGATATCATTTTTGTGCAAATCTGAGAATTGTTGCTTATAGCCAATACCAGAAAAATAAAATTCTTAAACAGAATTTGTGTTCATTTCATGCCCTGTGCCTCCTTGCCTACCTTTTGTCTTTGGCCTAACAAAGTTTTCTAATATGGAATAAGAATTACGGAAATGGTAATGGAAATACAACTTCAGAATTACGCAGCTTAGGGTACTCCGTTCACAAGTGGTTGCTGACCATCCACGTTGTCTGGCTTTTCCTTCTTCTGGTTACGATCTTTACCCGTGCGCAGCCGATTACCTTCACTGGAGGTATTCTGTAATGTTTTAGTGTGGACACTCCTTTCATTATTGCAGTCAACTCTGATCTAAAACAAGTTATATTTGTTATGTACACACACCAAATCCTATTGTAATCTGTAATTGGCCTGACGAGAAATTTAAGCCTGAAGTGTGAACTCGAACATGTCAAAAAGGGAAATGAGGGATGAGAATAGAAGTAGTGAAAGGAATTAGGCCAGGTAGGATCTTTATTTTATGATTTTAGGACACTCTTCTTCTTTAACTGGAACCCACTGGTTGCATTCAAAGTTAGATAAAAACTCACAATCCTACTGTGTCTTCTTCTAAGCAGAATAAAACAGTGAGAAACAAATAATTAAAATGAATAACTATTACAAAATATACATGGTTATAATATTAAGAGTTCAAAAGAATGGGTTATTCTTCAAAGATTATGAAAGGCAGGATAAAAGAGGCAAATTAATATCTTCCAAACCTGACTTTATCAGAATAATAACTTTCTTATTAACTAGCCTTCAGTTTACACCTTTATATCCATCATGGATGTGATTAAGCTTGTCTATACTGAGCATTTCCATTGTCTATGGTAGAAGAATATGAGCATTGGTTTCTAGCAGCCTGTATTTCAGTAAGGAAAGTCAGATGATAATATAACTGGAACTCTGAAGAAAAATTGTACAGGAAAATTTGAAGACACCAATTAGGAGAGGGACTGGAATCCCAGGAAGAATGTAAAGATGAATGCAATTACAAATAAAATACTGATTTATACAATATTTTAAGTGCCACTTAAAATACTGCTAACAGAATAATAGACACTGTACAAAGGGAAGGTAATATCGACAAATGACAAATATTAATCTGCTTCAAGTACAAATACTACATATATCTCAAAATGGTTCACTGTAATTTCAAAGTGAGTTAAAATGTTGGGTATAGTTGTGGGTATAGTTGTATGTTTTAAATGTTTTATTGTCAAGGGTTTGGTGCTTTATTTTATTTTATTTTATTTTTGCATGCACAGAGGGACCTGGAGAGTATTATGCTAAGTGAAATAAGCCAGTCAGTGTCTGATTTACATCTATTAAATTTACATAGAAAATACAGCCTTTCTTTTGATATGCCATTTTAGTTACAAATATGCATCCTTTTAACCGATGTGATAAAAAAGCCTAGTTCATCAAATATTTCCGTTTAAGAAAGGAATTACAAAATTGGTACATTAAATGCCTTACATCTTGGTAAAATACATTATTTCATCCATCTCTTTACCTAGGTCTAAGGTCTTTTCTATGCTGGTCTTAAAGAACCCATCAGTAGTTAACAAGTACTTATAACTACTATGAATTTTAAAGAACATTTTGTCATAAAGGTCTGCTTTTAAAAAGTTCTTTCTCACTTATCTGGGGTGTTGGACCCAAACCAATCCATAGTCGAGAAGGAATCATAACTAGTTGGGTTAAGAATTAAGAGTCGAAGTAGAAGAGAACATGTGCTTTGGAATTAGACACCAGGGTTCAAATATCATTGTACCATATGCTAACTATGTAACTTTGGGCAAAGGACTAAATCTTTCTAAACTTCCATCTACTAACCTTTAAAACAGAAGAACAAAATGACTTACCTTAGGTGGCTGCTGCAAGATTAAATTAGATAAAACACACACAAAACACTTAGCAAAGGCGTCTGGAAATTGTCCGAGGTAATGTTAAAATCATTTTAACAATAGACACAGCACAGGTGACAACCAACTGATATGGAAGTTTCAGAATAGAAGCTAACTGTAAATAAGCAGCTGACTAATTCAGCAGGTTCTAGCCCTGCCTTTTACAATTATTACATTTGATAAACATGCCTTATTTTCCTTACTTTCCATTTAAGTATTCCTGCTTCTATTCCTGCTTCTCAGAGGAAGAGGGACCCACAAGGTTTACTCAGGTCTCACTCTCAGTACATCCTGGGGTGTTCTCTTCTTGGGGAAATCAGAGGGACCACCAATGTGGTATTGAAGTCATGTGACAAAGTTTTCACAAATACATTAATTATTCTCTAGAGAAATCTTTGTATGTTTGCATGAAAATCCAAGGTTATCACAGTTATAACAGTAAAAGGAAATTATTTCAGATATCAAATCTATAATCTTTGAATATGTTTAAAAAGAAACTCATAAAATTCAAACTACTGTAATGCAAATAATTTAGATGAAAAAGGCATATGGGTTTACCTGGAGGGATCCATCTGCAGTTCTCCCTTTAGCCTCTCTTGGATTACGAGGACGGTTATCTGTTCGGGAGTGATCATCGTTTCCTATAGGGACGTTTTAAAAAGGTTCAACAATTACTGATTACAACTATGCAACTGTCACAGGTCAATCTGAGCTAATTTCAGATGTTATGTTTAGACTATGAAGAAGCTGAACTAGTTGTCAGTGTTAATTTATATATTCTACATGAACCATAAGAGAGGCTAATATCCTGTTAATTACTGTATAAAAGGCTGAGTCTTTACAGGAGAAATGGGGTCTTGGTAATATGGTGTTAAATCACCAAGATTTCTCACCAAACTTCAGGCAGTTGTTACAATTCATCTTTATTTCTTACTAGAGTCCCGGTGCACAAAATTAGTGCACTGGGGGGGGGAGGGATCGGGATCCCTCAGCCTAGCCTGTACCCTCTCACAGCCCAGAAGCCCTTAGGGGACGTCCGACTGCTGGCTTAGGCAGTTAGACATCCTTAGCGGTGCCGTGGAGATGGGAGAGGCTCCTGCCACCACCGCTGCGCTCGCCAGCCATGAGCCCAGCTTCTGGCTAAGGGGCACTCCCCCTGTGGGAGTGCACTGACCACCAGGGGGCAGCTCCTGTGTTGAGCATCTGCCCCCCTGTGGTCGGTGCACATCATAGTGACCAGCCATTTGCCGTCCGGTCAATTTGCATATTAGCCTTTTATTATATAGGATGTTGATGAGGGAGAGCTAGCAGAGGTCAATACGGGGGGAGGGAGAGAAGAGAAGGGATTATATGTGATACTTTCAACAATAAAAATTTTAAAAAAGAAAGAAAATCTCTACCTTTGAAGCCGCCTCCACGCCCTCTTCCTCCCTGTCCTCTTCCTCCACCGCCACGTCGTCGTCCCTCTCCTCTGCGCAGAAAGTTCTCCCTCTCTTCCTCTGTTGGAGCTAATGACCAATCACTGAGTTCGTCTCTGTGGTCAGATTCTGTTTCAGAAGCATTTGATGCTTCAGAATTAGTTCCTATCGAGAGTTAAAAGTTATATACCATTGTCCGACTTAAAAAAAAAAGTTAGGTTATCAGAAGCTTCCAGAGACCTTTTTGGGGTAATCTAATATTCTTGCTCCCAATTTATAAGACTACCAAAGGGTATTATCAGCTTTTATTTTATAAAACAAATTATCTTAAATTCAAAATGAAGGGCTTTATAATTTTTGAGGTAATCTTGGAAAGCATTTTTGGTTCTCATTTTTTAAAAAAGGTATTTTATTAGCCATCTAACTTCAAATCTAAGTATGCCACATCATTAAACAGCTATACTCCTTTAACCATCTACACTTTCTGGAGGGAAAGTTGTTTACAATGGTTAAAAGCAATACTCTGAGAAACAAAACCTCTATATAGTTGCTGCTAATAAGGTTTGGTTAAGGAACAGAGGGGAATGCAAAACGCAATTTGGTCATCTCTGAGAGAGTGGCAAAGGTGGTGACCATGGCAACTATCTCAGGGAAGGATCCCTTGTGGGATCAGGGATTGGACCAGATGAATGGGGATATGCTTGCCTGATACCTGGTCCATAACTTTTCCTCCCATTCCCACTAGAATAATTTGCTATTAATAAAAGTTTTATTATAATACACTCATTATGCCTAAGGGGGTGAGTTAATGACATAAGGGATTGGAATGGAAGAACAACTCCAAAGTGAGGTGGGACTTCAACATAAAAAAGAACAGACTTTTGAAAGAGGGTTACGGGTTAGGTTCAAAGTTGGCCATAGGAGTGGGTATGTCTCTCCCCAACTCCAGAATGTCAACTCTACTACCTCTCTCTCTTCCTTTGTTGGAGCTAATGACCAATTATAGCTTCACCATTATAGCTTCATTCCTGTGGATCTTGAAGGCTTTCCATCTTAAAGAGTTCCTTTTTGAAATGCAAATATTTGTGAGATGGATTATACCTTATACCACCATCAGCAAATTACATAGTAGTTACACAGTTGAGCAAGAAAGACAGTAGGCACTGGCAGGTGGGGACAGCATTCAGGAAAAGTACTGGGAGAGAAGAAAGAAGCACTGACAGAAGAGCTGGGAAGGCAAAGAGAAACTTCGCCGACTTCTTGACTGTGCCTAGGGCTGACTTTGGCCATGCCATACAAAATCACCTTATGAGCCACAGGATGTAGACCCCTGATTTACAGTCCATCCAGCAAGTATGACCAGCACATGCCTGACAAAAAATGAGCCACAGTACACAAATGTAAAAAGTTTTGGCTATACAGTAATAAAATTAGGAAAGGCCTTAAGAAAATCATCAACATACAAGGGCTTAAGCAGATTTATCCCCAGTCAGAGCATGGACAGAACTCACACCTGCCCTGTGAATGCTATGTGTCATTATGGTTTTAACTCTATGTCTCAACACAATTTGACCCATTGTGAATTGGAAAACATGTAGTGAGAAATAGTTATAATGGGGTTCTAATGAATATTAGAGGTTAGCAGCTATTAAGTGTAGGAACAGATAAAGTTACTGAGTAAAATGCTTAGTTTGTACCTGAAGTATATCCAGGACCGCGTCTGCCGTGCCCCCTATTTCTGTAAGGTCTACTACCTCGACCCATTCCTTGACCATCATCAGTCACATAGCCTTTTTCCTTATCTGTACGATTTGGTGGTGGTCTAGAACTAGCTCCAATCTGTCGCAACTGCTCATCAATTTGTAATCTCTCCAAACGCAACTGGTCTACTTCCTATTTAAAATATACAAGATAACAGTAAAAATAATTTGACATTTTACTTAATACCTTTCTCCTTTTTATCAGATAAAAAAGTATACTGGAAATATTTCAATTTTAGTTCTTAATTTATAGTAAACACTTATACAGAATTATCAAGAAACTGAATGATCTCCTTAAAAACAAAATTAAATAACAGATTACTGATGCCCAGAATTAGAGATATAACAAAAATACTCAGCATTATAATAGAATTTAAAGTTGCTTGATTTGGCACTATTACTCAATAGAATCTGCTAAGGCATAGATATGCTAATTTTGGGACTTCTTGATGACAGGATACTGAATAAAACAACTCTAAAATGTAAGAATACAGAAAATAGACATTTAAAGGTTTAACCAGCTAACCCTAAAAATTACACATTGTAAATAATCTGAATCGAAATAGATTTGCCAGTTAATATCTTAATTTACAAAGCATTGAGTTTGGGCCATCTTGTTTGCAAAGAACATATACTAAAGTAGGTCTTTGGATGTGATTATACAATTAAGACACACTTATTTTCAATGAACTGAAAATTATCATATTCCTTATACAGGGCAGAAAACTATTTAACAGCTGGCCAAAAAAGTTAGGTCTTACATCATGCCTTGTAAACCCCTTAAACCTACAACTATGCTAGACCAAGTACAATAAACAATATAAATTTAGTTGATCAAAATATACACCTAGGGTCCACAGACAGATCCTTACATACAGTGCTTCCAATATGTTGGGTTCTGTCAATTCCATACACAGTCTCAATTATAACCTTCATCCTTCCAATCTACCAATTTATGGGTTATAGGGAGCAAGAGGCATAAATATAGTAGTACTAAGTGTTTCTGTCAAGCAGAGGCCACCAGGGAAACTGTCTACATGAACAGTCACTGGAGAAGCCCCTGAAAAGCTAAACTCCTAAATTCTGATTGTGGCAGTTTCCGGAAAAGAAAGGGCAGGTAAGGATTTGGGTGAGTTTGATCTGAGCTCTGAACTAGAATCTGTTTTACAAAGGACTTGAACAAAGAAGAGACTGCGGCTGAGTGAGTGGCTTACTCCAAAAGTACAGCTATAGCTCATGGAATGGGTACATCTTGCAAAACAGAATGGTAGTCCATGTTATCTCACTGGGGCAAAGCAGTCACCTTTTGGTGAAAGATGACAAGCCCAATCAAGTGAAGATCTGGTGATGGAAAGAATGGCAACGGGACAGCTGCTGATAACCAAAAAAGATATTCAATTGTGAAGAATAAATCAAAAGATCTAAGAAAGATTAGTCAAAAAGAACAAGGGATCAATACAATGCAACACTAACTCTCCAGGTCTTCATAATTAAAGTAAGCTAAGAATATGAAGAAAAACACATACAACAGATTACACATAAACATGTTTTAAAATAAAATAAATAAGCAAGTCAATGGGAAATCCTACCCATGCAAGCCTTGCTGGATAAAACTTTCCCATTTTCAATTATTAACTAACCACCATAAAAATGAATGAAATGCCTAACTATTGAACTTTTTTTCTTCCTTATTTGCATATAAGTAGAAATTGTTTAATTTTATTTCTCTAAGAAATCGGCAAAAATTCTTAAAATAGCATTATAAATAAAACAGAAAGTTGGATTACTTTTAAAATATTACTTAGTACCAGTTACATTATATTTTGATACACATGGATAGAAGAAATTATAAAGTGACATGGATAAGGCTTCATTTCATTGATTTACAGAACTTTTTGGCCAGACGACATTTTAAAAAGCATCTAGTCTAGGGAAGTGACTTGGCCTAAAGTCACATAGCTAGTCCATGACAAAGGATAATCTAGAAGCATATCGCTGGACTGCCAATCTAGTGCCCTTTCCATTTATACCTTGTAGCCCCCTTGTTTCTGCTTTCCAGTTTGTAATCTAGAGGGGGCATAAATGCTACAAAAATTATTTCTATTTTGTATAACAGAGTATAGAGAAAAATATGGAGGGCACACATTTAAAAAGATTTCTTGAAACACTGGGATTTCCTTAAGAAATGACATAAAAGAGACAATAAAAGCAAGTGGAAAACTCACAAAGGCTAGAAAGGATCAACCTAATGAAAAAGCTGTGTACAGGATTAACCTAAATTGAGTGCAAGGGTTTAAAAGAGAAATAATGAGAAATGGGGGAAATTTATTGAGAACTGGGATACTGGTCCTTACATTTGTGATGATGATGAAAATTGACTTGTGTTTTCAAAAGGAATATAAGCTAAACAAAGTGAGTATTTTGTCTATTACTTTTTACAGGTCATTCATTGTAATGTTCAGAATGAATCTTAACTACTGAAAGGTTTACTATGGAGTTTTTAGTGCAAAAAGAATTTGAAATTAAAGATATTGCTGTTCTCACCTTTAAATAGTTCAGGTGATAATCCAAAAGAACAGTGGCATTAGCGATGCTGTCCTTTGTTCCCACAAAAACAAATGGTACCATACCCTGGAAAAGAAATGAGGACAATGATCCCATAATATTAATAATGTATTAATCTGAAAATGCAAATAATGACTCAATCCCTAATACAGGGTCTGACAGACAGTAAGTACACAAATGTCTGTTGTAAATATAAATCAATAATACATGAAAATAAAGTAATTGGCATACTTTACACATCTGTGAGTAAGGACAGATCAATATAGCAACCCCTTAAATGCATCAGGTTACTATGTTTTAAACACTACAATTAAATGTTGGCAAAGTCGCAAATTATGTAATTCAAAATTATACAAGCTTTAACATGAGATGCATAAACAAAATACTCTAATTCATCTAAAAGCTTTTTCAAATTCAACTTCTTTTAAAAATCATTAAAAATAACACTATATTACAAAATTAAATCAATTAGCTAACCAAGTCAACAAAGAACAAAACAAAAACAAAAACACAAACAGAATTAGGATACATTACAATGCACTGAGTAATTATTCCGCAAGGCGGGGGGGGGGGGGACCTGGCATTTCCATGAGCATAAAATTTAACACTATAATACATTTCAATAATGTGCTCTGAAAATAACAAAAGGCTGAATCATAAGGTAAGTTTCATCTTCTCTCTATGGTACTACTTTAATATAAGGATAGATTTTTGAAATTCCCATACTAAAAATTTATATTTCCAGCCCATCAGTACAAATGAGGAAAAAAACAAAAAAAACTTTCTTGTCACAGTTATAGAGAAGCCTAGGCCAGTTGTGCAAACTAACAGCTGGCAATTATGACATTCAAAGTTGAGAACAGCCGAAGCCGATTTGGCTCAGTGGTAGAGCGTTGGTCAGCGGACTGAAAGGTCCCAGGTTCGATTCCGGTCAAGGGCATGTACATTGGTTGCGGGCACATCCTCAGTAGGGGGTGTGTAGGAGGCAACTGGTCGATGTTTCTCTCTCATCGACGTTTCTAGCTATCTCTCTCCCTTCCTCTCTGTAAAAAATCAATAAAATATATTTAAAAACAAAACAAAAAACAAAGTTGAGAACAGTTCAATATTTTGCTAAAGAAATACACATAGTTACTAATATTCACAAGTAACTAAAAAAGCATACAATGGCTCTGATGTGGACATAATATTATAAGTTTCTAGGTATTAGAAGTCAAGAAGCTGTCTCTTTAGCAAGTATCCCTCTTTTAAAAAGAGCATTCATTGGATAGGTGTGGCTACTCCTGGGCTGCTTTTGCTTGCGTGCATTCAGTACACAGCATCTTAAATGGATGTGAGGCTGGAACACGTTTTTTTCTTTTTCCTTCCACATGAACATGGCTGCTACTGGGGAACAAAACTGAACAATTAGGAAATACAGCTTGCAGACTGACCTTTATCTGGTAGAAAAGGAATGCTTCCTAGTAAGCAATGACCATCTGAATAATCAGGTGCAACTGAAAATCCATGGGCTTCATAATGGATTTTTTTTTGGATCAAATAATATATGAACTATGGAAATTATCAAGCCCATGGATCAGATCTTTTTCTCAAAAACATGTTGAGTTTTTTCCCCAACAGACTGTTAGAAAGCAGTAAACCATATTATTTTCTAAAATGTCATATTGTGAAATGCTATATCCTTCCTTTTGGATCATATGCCACCAAAATAAGCTTTGAAACCCTGTCACTAATTTAGTTTGATCAACTTTGGGACAAATAATTTTAAAACATTTTCTTTTTCAACATATCCAAACTGTTAGCATAGCAAGTGCCACTCCAATTTAAGCATATCTCTAGTGGACCAGAATAGTAAATTAAAATGAAAAAATGTGAGTAAAATGGTAGCTTTCTATACTTGACACCAAGAAAAGTAATTCCCTGTTCTAGGGTGAGAACTGAGCTGCCCAGCAGAGAGGAATATCTAATACACTTGCGGTTGGTTATATTTCCCTTTATAAAATGGCATTTTTGCTTTGAATCTCTTGTGAATCACGACATTTTCCCCATAAACTGTTCTCATGAGCTATGTAGAAGTCCCTGCACTCAAGGAACTCACAATGTGGCTGAGGAGGTAGACAAGTAAATGTCTACGTACTGAGTGCTACGATAGGGGCACACATTCACTGGAGCTCGGAAGAGAGAAAGGCTCTTCAGCCAGTCATGGGGAGGGGACCTGGGACAAGTACACACATAAGCTGCATAAGGAAAAAGGACAAAGCATGGTGGCAGGAAGAAGAGTGCTCTAGGCGGAGAAAACATATGCATCTGACTGTTCGGTATGACTGTTCAGAGACCTCTAAATACTTCAGTATGACTTTAAGTCTCTCTAGAATGCAAGAGGGAGGAGTTGTAACAAATGATATTGGACAGGTTACCATGAAAAAAAAGCCTTATAAGCAGCAGGAAGAAATCTGAGCTTTCTCCCCAGGGCAATAAATTCACGTACCCACAAACACTCCTACACCAGCCTCCAACCCTGAAGGTCATTTGTAATCTCTCTTAACAAGGGGAATAAACATTAAAATATAAAATTAAAATGTATTTTTCAAGGAATGTTTTCCTACCTGCCAAGCCTTGAGTTCAGGTTTCTGGGATTCCCCTGCTACAATTGATGAAATCACTAACACCTAAAGCAGTATAAGGAATGCAAGTGATGTCATTAACTATAACAAATGATACACAGAAGCCTGAACGCAGGACTTTCACTGTAGGACTTTTAAACTAATTTCTAAACAGGTTAGTTCAAATATTGAAAATCAGTTTCTAAAATATGGTTTTAAGTAGTAACTAATGAATGTAACAGACGATACATTTTGAGCTAATACAACCTGCAAAATCTCAAGAGATACAACATGGAAAAATTACAGTCCACTCTCAAAAGCAAAATATGACCATTAAATGCAACCCTGCATTTTATGTTTACAACATAAGATTTGTCACTGTGAATAAGCTGAAAAGTAGGTATCACTTTGGTTTATAATATCTCATAACCTAAAAATCAGATTTGAAAAAAATACATGAGTAGCTTATAAGCCTAACCAGAGAAAATACCTGAAACAGGCATTTGTAACATCTGAGTGGAAGAAATTACTTTCAGTGTAATTCAACTTGATAAATATTTCTTACCCTCTGTACTTTTGTACTGTTAGGTTGAGAAAAATGAGCGCTGTTTTCCTTTATATCTATATGTTTTTTTTCTTCCAAGGAAGTAGGTCCAACCCTTGAGTTACTAGTGGAAGGCAGGGAATTTGGTGGCATTATTTCCTTGGTAAAACACAAAAGAGAAAAAATAACTAATTTTAAGTCTTTATTTAGTTCCATTATTATATCAACGATATTTTAAGAAGAGAAATTATTTATAATAAAGTTTTGGTAAACAAAACAAAATGTAAAAATCATGCAATAAAAAATCCCCAAAGATTTAATTTCAGCCAAAAGAACCTTTCACAAAAGACTAGATAATATATGAAAATTATGACAATTTAATTTTAAACACAGTACCATTGCATAGAAGAGCATGCCCTCACGTCCCCAACCCCCCACACAAATATTTATACATGCACACAAATAATGAAGGCAAAACAGAAAAGCCAGAAAACCTAAGAAGTGTCCCAATTTTGTTTCAGTTAGTAAAATTAAATATTTGAAAAGTGCTTTGTACTTTTTTTTTTTACAATTACAATCCACCCATTTTAAAGATTGAGAAATAAGAGCTAAAGGGATTAAAGTAACTAATCCAAAGTCACAGCATTAGAGAATTAACAGAGGCCATGTCTACAACTATACTACTAACTGGCATATCTGATAATCAAAATTTTGTACATCTACATTTATGTGCATATCACAGAAGCCTCTAAATTAACTTCAAATAATAAAACTTTTATTTTTCTTATACAAACCAGAAACATATGCATTAGAACATACCTCTTCTTGTGGAACATTTTTCTCACTTTCGGCCTCAATTCTCACCCTCACAACTCCTGACTTGTCCACAATCTCCTGGATCAGTTTTCCATTTTTTCCTATTACTTTGCCTAAAGTAATAAATGAATAATTCATGTTTGGCTTTAAGAACACAAATTACACCCCACTGTAAACTATAGCATTATCTATATATATAAAAGGATAATATGCAAAGTGTTCCCTTAGGAGTTCGATTGCTCACTATGATGTGCTCTGACCACCTTGGGGTGGCACAGAATGAAGGTAGGCCCCAGTCAGCAGCAAGCAGCCAGGGAAGGAAGGCCCCGGCTGGCAGCCAGAAGGCCCCAATCCATCCTGATCGCTGGCCAGGACTAGGGATCTTACCTGTGCATGTATTCCATACACTGGGAGTCTAGTCTATAATAATAAAAGCATATGTAAATCAACCGAACCACTGAACAGAACTGTCTGAACAATCTTCTGGACGACCATGCTATGACATGCACTGGTGCCAGGCTAGCCAAGGCAGGTGTGATGCGATTGGCTGGGGGCCCCGCAATTGTCCCATGATTGCCCCGCAAAGGGAGGCCCAGGCCACCCTCTGTGGAGCGATCGATGGGGGGGGGGGCCTTCAAAATAGATTACCCCACAGAGGAATGCCCAAGCCACCGGCCAGTGGGATGATCAACCCTCTGTGCTGTGATTGATTATGGAGCCCTCATCGGGTGGGCTGAGCTTCCCTCTGCGGGGGGATCGATGTAGAGGCCCCGTGATTGATTGCCCCAGAGAAAGGCCCAGGCCAGCCAAGTGATCACACCCCACGCTTGTCGGCTGCAGAGGGAAGCTATCGGTTGCAGAAGAGGGGGGCAGCACCGCATAGTTAGCAAGCAGTGGCAGTGGTGGAGGTGAGGCTAGCTGCCAGCAGTTGGAGGGAAGTAAAGCCCCGATAGGCCCTGATAATCAGCCAAGCCTGGGGACTCTACTCGAGGGGTCCCAGATTGCGAGAAGGTGCAGGCCAGGCTAAGGGACAACCCCCTCCTGAACAAATTTCATGCACTGGTCCTCTAGTCCTATATAATAAAAAGGCAATATGTAAATTGACCACCACTTCAACACACCAGATTGTCACCCCCACGTGGTCAAAGATGGCCATACCCATGTGGACACAAGATGGCCACCACAAGATGGCCAGCAGGGGAGGGCAGTTGGAAGGAACCAGGGCTGCAGAGGAGGGCAATTGGGGGCAACCAGGCTGGCAGGGGAGAGCAGTTAGGGGCAACCAGGCCAGCAGGGGAGGGCAGTTGGGTACAATCAGGCCTGCAGGGGAGGGTAGCTGGGGGTGACAAAGCCTGCAGGGGAGGGCAGTTGGGGGTGACAAGACCTGCAGGGGAGGACAGATAGAGGCAACCAGGCTGGCAGGGGAGGACAATTGGAGGCAACCAGGCCTGCAAGGGTGTAGTTAGGTGTCAATCAGGCTGGCAGGGGAGTGGTTAGGGAGTGATTAGGCTGGTAGGAAGAAGCTGTTGGAGCAATCAGGCAGGTGAGCAGTTGGGTATCAGCAGTCCTGGACTGTGAGAGGGATGTCCGACTGCCTGTTTAGGCCCAATCCAACAGGGTCTAAACAGACAGATGGACATTCCTCGAGGGGTCCCAGATTAGAGAGGTGCAGGCTGGGCGGAGGGACACTCCCCTTTCCTGTGCACAAACTTTGTGCACTGGGCATCTACTTTTATATAAAACTGAAAGACCAAAAGATACTCTTTAATGAAAAGATATGATTAAACTTGGCTATCCATTTTACTAGGTTAGCATTGTTTAAACTCCATTGGCTAGGTATTGGAATTGATTAATACTCATAAACTGAATGGAGAATTTTGAATTTTTAAAGCCTTTCAAAGATAGGTTCTTATTTTGCACAAAAGTGTACACTTTAAACTTGCTAGTACAGTGGTGTATATCAGTCTTCAACATTCTATTAAAAGTTAAAGGATAAAAAAAGTTATAGGATAGATAATCGTATATAATAAAAGCATAAATATGCAAATGGACTAAATGGCAGAACAGCCATTTGCCATGACATTTGGTGTGCACTAACCACCAGGGGGCAGTCGCTCAATGCAGGAGCTGCACCCTGGTGGAGTGAAGCTCAGCCAGAAGCCAGGCTCACAGCTGGTGAGCACAGTGGCGGTGGCAGGAGCCTCTCCCACCTCTGTGGCACCGCTATGGATGTTCAACTGCAGGTGGGCAGTAAGAAATGAGGCCCAGCCTGCAAGAGCCCCAGACTGCTACAGGGCACAAGCCGGCTAAGTAAACCCACCTCCCCCAGTGCATGATTCTCGTGCACTGGATCTCTAATAAAAATATATTTGTGCCTGGTTGGCATGGCTCAGTAGTTGAGCATTGACCTATGAACTAGGAAGTCACAGTTTGATTCTAGGTCCAGGCTCAATCCCCAGTAGGGGTCTTGCAGGAGACAGCTGATCAATGAATCTCTCTCATCACTGATGTTTTTCTCTTTCTTGCTTCCTCTCCCTTTCTCTCTGAAATCAATAAAAATATATTTTAAATAAATGTATTAACAAATAAATAAAAATGTATTTGCAAATTTACTTGACAATTTCAATTCCATCTGTACCTGATTTAAATCTGCTTCTTTGCCCATGGTAAATGCAGTCATACATCACTTAATAATGGGGTATGTTCTGAGAAATGCTTAGCTGAGAATTCTGTCATTGTGCAAACAGAATACACTTACACAAACGTAGATGGTATATAACCTACTGTAAATCTAGGCTAAGTTATAGCCAACTGCCCCCTAGGCTATAAGTCTCTATAGCATGTTATTAAATAAAACAACAAGAAATTAAAGCATAAGAGAAAATGATGCAATTGAGACACAGTGAATAGAAGATATATGAGGCTACTGTTGGCATAACACGGTATACTTTTACAGTAAATTTTTTTCTTGTAAGTAGAAAGAGTACACTCTAAAATAATGATAAAAAACATAGGACAGAAAATACATAAACCAGTAACAGTCATTTATTATCATTATCAAGTATATGTAGATCATTGTATGTGTTATATTTTTATATGACTGCCTTAGCACAGTAGATGTGGTTTTACTAGCATCACCACAAACATGTGAGTAATGCATTGCACTATTATGTCAGAATACCTACAGTGTCACTAGGCAACAAAATTTTTTTCGTTTCATTATGATCTCATGAAACCACTGAAGTATACATTGACGAAAATGTCACATTCAGCATTATGATTGTATTTTTATAATTTTATGACACATTTATAAAAGATCCTCTAAATTTTAAAGTAGCTTAAGCAGCTACACATACATCTAAAAGAAGTGCACATTCTTTAAGCCAATGTGTTAACAGAGTATTACTCCTGTGTATTACTCACAAATTATATCAATATATTAAAAGTTGAAGGAATAGGTCACAGAGTAAAAGATTAAGAAATAATACTTTAAAATAACTCAAAACCAGTTTAAGATTAAAAAAGCTCAAAACCAATTTAAGATTAAGTATTACTCCATACATCTGTTAAAACTCCAAAGCCTTCAAGCACTCGATTCTTTCACTCATTTTATAAAATTCAGTCATATCATTAACTGAGAAGTGACTGCTTTCATAGACATCATAAATTACAAATGTAGAAATACTGATTCAAGAAATCTACATGTAAGTTACATCTAACTCCAAGGGCTCTCCCAAAGTACCTAAAGCACCCTTGCACTGTCCACCTTCATCATGTGTTTGCCCCACCACCTCATCTAAGGAAGGGATGGGGAAAAACTGGAAGGCAAAATTTGTTTTGAGCACATGCCCAGGTTGTGGGCTCCATCCTCAGTGACAGTGTGCAGGAGGCTGCTGATTAATGATTCACTCTCATCATTGATGCTTCTATCTCTTTCTCTCCGTTCCTCTCTGAAATAATAACAATATATGAAAGCAACTTAGGTACCTATGGAGAGATGAATGGATAAATATCTGCTAAGCACACTCACAATGGAATCGATCATTAAAAAGAATGATACCTTGCTATTTCTAACAGAACCTATGGACCTCTAGTAAAAATAGAATTACCATTGATGTTGCAGAAAGCTCCAAGGACCTTTGGAGTTACTTATAGCTTTGAAACTTACTAGATTTAAGCCTATATTAAGATTTTCAACTCTGAGATAATTAAGAATGCTATTGTTTTATAGCCTCATTAGAGGGATCAAATATGAATCTATTCCAAATTATAAAGCCTCCAAAATGTCATTCATTTTGAAAAAAACATACTTAATTTTAATATATGTAAAATATACAGTGAAGAGTCTGTGCAAAATGTATCTTTCTTGGCACTAATTGGTTTTAACTAAACAAAGCAATATCTTTTGTACACCTTCTAAAATGTAATCTTGGAGTATCACATTTACCTATTATAATATTTTCTGTACATTGAAGAATTTCAAAGATTACATTTCAATTAAATGAGTTAAAATGAAATTCTATTGGTGTAAATGATTTACCAAACTTTTGTTTTTGTAGAGTATGTCAACAGGATATTTTTCCATTGGTTTTTAGAGAGTGAAGAGGAGGGGGGGGGGGCAGATAAAGAAAGGGAGGGAGGAAGAGGGACAAGGAAACATCCATGTAAGAGAGACACATCTATTGGTTGCCTCCCACACGTCCCCCAACGAGGACAAGGGGTTAAACCTACAATCCAGGTATGTAGCCTTGACCGGGAATCCAACCTGTGATCTTTCCTTGTGAGTGCCAGTGCTCTAATCACTTAGCATGTGGCCAGAGCTCAACAGCAATTTCTGACTCACCCACTAAGTTTCTTGGAACTTGTATGACATCTTCGGCAAATTCAAGAAAGCTTCTAGCCTTTTTAACTGCATCCTGATCCTAATAAAAGGGGGAAAAGATTTAAGCCAAAAAATGAACCATCTGAAATACTGGATTTTGTTTGAGAAAAGAGCTAGTCAAATACTTACCTCTCCATAAATATGAAATGTGCAGGTATCTTCATCTAGATCGATAGCAGTGACCCCAGGTACTTTTCTAGCTTGCTGAATATTAGCACCATGAGTACCAATAGCTAGACCCATCAGATCTTCTCGTACAATAAACTGTTCATGAAATCTTGAGGCAAGCTGTCTTGAACTCTGATGGGAAATGTATATCTGATTAATATTATGCTTTTCAACTATTGAGAAAACTGTATTTAGGTCAGCCATGTAAATTATCTTGATCCTGTATACCAGGGGCCTATAAATTAGTTTATGTTGGAAATTAACAGATTTTAGAAAATAACACCCACCCATAGCATAAGTTCTTTTTAGGTTACTGAAAGTCTCTATACTATTTGAGGTATTTTTGTTAATAGGAAAAGGCTTGTTGACAATTTTCTAAGGTAACTTGGAAAACCTATTTGCAAGGTTGCCTTAGATAAGCAATGACATCAACAATATAGTGATCAAGAATCAGATAAAATGTTCCCAAATAAAAACCAACTCACTGGGTCTGTTAGACTCAATGTTTTTTAAGTAAGTAAAAAAAAAAAATTAAATAACATCTCCACAGAAAACTGTATTAGCTTCACTTTTATTAATGGATATTGGCTTATATATTCTAGAAACAGTGCCATTTATAAAACTGTAAGTATTAATGGATATTGGGGTCTATACAGCCCTTTGATGAAGTGATGGATGGCATTAAAATTACATCATCTCACCTCACCCCCAACCTCAAGAAAAGGGATTTATAAAAACTTTTGGTACAGTAATTGAATTACACTGAATAATTACAGAATGTCAACGATTTACAAGTTATCTTACATAGGCACCTACAACCTAAAATGAGATCAGTCTGTAAGACCTAATCTGGATCCACACATACTCACTATGAATTCTTTCAAATATTCAGTGATGACTGAACTAAATTAAAATGATACCCAAAACTTGTGGATAAGCACTCTGTTTAAATATTATCAAAATTTAATATTTAGTTCTAGCATGCCATTAATGAAGCCCAAACATATTAGTGACTCATGCTGAAAAAGGAAATTTCTTATCTGAATATGTGTATCTCTTTAATAGTAGTGAGGAAAGATAGGCATGCATACTAGTTCCTCATTATTCAACCTACCTCTAGCTGTTTACTGGCTTCTTCATTTCTCAGTATCAGAGACAGCTTAGTGCGCAGACTCCGAAAGTGCATGTCAATCAGCATGTGTGCTCGTTTTGCAGTGACTTCATTGATAGACTAAAAGATATAAATTAACATTATTATCAAAGCAAATGCCCCAAATGATATACACCAAAATAAACAACTCAAAAACACTCACCAAAATGACAAGCTGGTAAGTTTCTGGATCATAAGTTACAGAAAAGGCACCAACTGCCTTTTTAAAGTCCTTATGTGCTGATTCTTTGGCACACCTAAAAATAAAATAAATATCCATTGTGAAGTTAAAATGATTACCAAATCCTGCCATAAATATATACACAGATTTCCACTTACAATTGTGGATTCATATTAAATTTGATTTATGCATGAAATACTTATATCAATTTAAAGGTTCAGTTCCTTTGCTGTTCACCTTAGCAATACTCAGCTCAATCAAGCATTTGAGATTACAGAAAAAGGAAAAAAAACAAACAGTTACGGTATGTTCTTAAGGGATTTCGGATGATATTAGATTATTAAAGGAGACATATTTAAGGAAGCCAATATTCCTCTGCAGACTTCTTCATTTCAGTTACACATAAGTAAGTTATTTTCTTGAATTAACTATTGAAAACAGCTGGGAATAGCTACAGGGTACCCAATTTTGTGGAGGGTTTTTTCCCCTAAAGAAAAAGTGCTGACCAACTTAAGGGAGAGAAGGAAATGCACATGAATCAGAAGGCAAAATAATGCAGATGCCTATTCAATCTCTATAATCAAAATGTAAGATTCCTATGTAGTTTGAACTGCAAGTTAATGTTTAAAGTACATCATGTACAAATAAAACATTATATTCCTTTGATGCAATCTTTAAAAAGGAATCTCCTAACTAAAAGTTTTAAGCATTACTCCAGATAAAGGAAGAGATGATCTTTGAAGCTTCATTAGCCCTAGTTATTACACACTTATCTGAAAATATTAGCTAAAAGGGAAAAAAACCTGGAGTAATTTTCATTGTCCAGAATTTTATTTGTGACTTATGATAACCTATATTAATTAGTTTCAAAACCTTAAAAGTCTGATAACAAAGCTAGTTTATTTTAGAAAATAAATGTACATGAGCCAGGTAGCTAGCCAAGTAAGTTTAAACAAGTGCAATTCGGCTTAGTTATATAACTCAAAAAGGCTAAGCACCTTTTTTCCACTACATTTTACAAATGATTTTCACTGAATTTAAAAATTGATTTTTATTATTTTAACATGTATATTCTTTTAAATTCATTGCACTTCACCTGTAAATTCTCAAGATTTTCTTGCCCATCAACTTACATTTGTCGTAAGTCTTCTGGCACATCCAGTTTGATTTTATGAAAGGTATCTTTTGTGGCAGGTTTGTTGGGATTAACTGATCGTAGACGTTCAATTGTGACAATTTCATTGTACGTAGCATCACAGGCTGCATATTCTATCACATAAAACTGAGAGAAATAGATAAAAATTCATTCCTGGTCATAGTATTTATAGAAAGAACAATAAGCTTTGCCTATTCAGCAATTTTTAAATTCTCTTGATGTCAAAAAACACTGTTTTTGATCAACTAACTGAAACACAGGAAACATAACATATACAGAAAATATTGTAATAAAATGACTCACATTACTTATTACTTTAAAATAAAAATCCAGACTGAAATGTAGTACCTGGGTTTAGAAAAGGGAAATAGTATAAGAAAAAAATTTTAAATATGCATTTTCCTACCTCACCCTTTATCATCCTCACTTTAGCTAACCACCAACAGCAAGGTTCTTTTTCATTTGCTCTGGAATAAACCTACACAAAAATTACAACAGAATATTTCATGATTAACATCACTCAGAAATTTATAGATTATCAGACATTGAGGAAAATTTCTTAAAATGACCATAGGTGTCTTCTGAACCCATATCCTATATCCTTAAATTAGATTGTACACTTACAGCTAGACACAGATACATGATCAGAAGCTGCCCGATTACTTCGGAGAGCCCTGGAAAAAGAGCTTTCCTATTTATCTTATCTGTTCTAATTCAATAATAATTAGTATTCTGAATATGAATGCTTAGGAAAAGCTAACTCTCCATAAACCTGGACATACTTTCCTTAGAAACTTTGAAAACTAAAAAAATTACCTAAAACAGTGGTTCTCAACCTTTCTAATGCCACGACCCTTTAATACAGTTCCTCATGTTGTGGTGACCCCAAATCATAAAATTATTTTTGTTGCTACTTCATAACTGTAATTTTGCTACTGTTATGAATCTTAATGTAAAATATCTTTGTTTTCAGATGGTCTTAGGCGACCCACAGGTTGAGAACCACTGCTGTAGAGCCTAAGACCATCGGCAAATACAGATATTTGCATTACTATTCATTAACAGTAGCAACATTACAATTATGAAGTAGCAACAAAAATAATTTTATGGTTGGGGTCATCACAACATGAGGAACTGTATTAAAGGGTCGCAGCATTAGAAAGGTAGAGAATCACTGATCTAAAATGTACAATCTTGTTTTTGTTTTGTTCTAACAAATAACTGGAAGTTGCTGATCCTGGCCTAAACCTGGGTGCATGGTCACTAAATGGATAAGGCCGCTGACCACTCACAGCCCATTGAAAATACCATCCTGGCATTCATGTCTCCTAGGGACTAAATGAAGAGATCACTGGTCACTCTCTGTTCTGTCTGCTCTCTACTAAAATGGACAACTCCACATTGGCAATCCTCTGGATACCACTTTCCTACTCTCATCAATTTCTCTCACGACCACACCAAAGTTCACTTACTATGTCCAGCATGGAACCTTTTTTGAAGACACTAGAAAATTAAGGTTAATAGGAAAAGAGACAAGACAGTGTACATAGGAGAGAAACAGAAATAGCAGCAAGGAGGACAACAAGAGGGGTGGGGAGGAGAGAACTGAAAGAGGAACAGAGCCTAAGGCTAACAAGCAACTCAAAGCTCCAATATGTGTCTTTTACAACTGAAGTTAATAGTTATAACTATAATTGTAATAGTTATACAACACAGTGACTAAATACAACAAAACCAATCCTACCTTTCCCTCTTGCCTCCATGACTTCCTATTAACTTTGCCCTACCCGGAGAAATAACCTGGTGATTATTATGTAAAACAAAGAGGTTGCCCTGGCAACAGTGTCCCATTGGTCCCCACCTGTCAGGACTAAGTTGGGGGGGGGTGGAATAAAAACTTCTATCCCACACTATCATGAACATTCTTGATATAGACAGACCAAAAGACCTGGTATCTTAGTTTCCTTTTATAATTTAAGTTAATGGTAATACAATACAGTTACTAAATACTACTTAATTTAACCTACCTTCCCCTCTTGTCACCATCAATCCTTCTCAACTCTGTTCTACCAGACCAGTACCTCAGTTATGTACTATTGTTAGGCAATATAGGGAGGTCACCCTAGCAACAGGGTCTCAATGGTTACCACTTGTCATGTATTTCATTTGGGGGGAATAGTCCCATTTATCCATCCAAACAGTATTCTGAGTACTCCCAATATAGACAGACCAGATGTCCTGATTCATGCCTTCAGGAAGCTGGTAGTCTCCTGGGGAAAATGAACAGTTAAAGGTTCTCAAGTATAAACAGTTTTTAGTTCTCTACTAGGATCCCTCATAAAACCAAGTCCAGTTCCTTCCACCTAGTAGGTACTGAGTACATTTTTGGTAAATAAATAGTACTTTATTCTATTTCTAATTTATAATTGTAGAGAAAAGAACACAGACCTGAACATCCAGAGACCTTCTCTGAGCACTCCTACCCCTACAAAACCTTCTATCCTGACATTTTTTTTTCTTCCTAGAACTTACACCTGCCATGTTAGCAATCCTCACTAGAATGTGACCTCATAAAGGCAGGGACTCTTCTGTTTCACTGCACCATCTGTACCTAGTACAAAAAATAAGAATTCAAAGACCTAGTACACTTTACCTTACCTGTACAAATGTCTATTTAACTGCTTCCTTAATACACACATACTCATAAAGTGGTATCTACTAACAAGGCATTGTGCAGAAAGAAAAAACTTAAAATGGAGTGTGTGAAAGATAAGGAAAGAGAGGATACTACACAGACCAATCATAACATAACCAGACTCTAAGTGTCTTAAGCCACGCCCCCCAATTTTCTGTAACTAGAGAAAACACAAATGCAATGTTTCTGTTAGTGTGCTACATCTCCACAGCACCTTTTGGTCAGAGACATAAATAGCACATGAGCTGGTGGTTCACAGCATGCCCTGTAAAAAGGTTTTACCTACATTCGTATATACTAAAACACATATAGTTTTGAAAAAATATACCAGGATGATCTACAACTACTTTTTACTACCACTTAAAGAAATTCTAGGATGATGCTCTATTATGAAGTTATGATTTTTTTCCCTTGTAAAATTAATTTTCCTGATCCAAAGATTCAGAGATTGAAGGAAACAAGAAAAGAAGTATTAGTGGGCAAAGGAAATCAGTGGTGATTTTCAAAGATGGGCCCAAAATTGCTACTCAGGCAGCCACATTTAAGCATCATATATTATTTCAAATTAAAAACAAATGTCCATCACTGCTAAAATTCTCTAGGTAGTTTAAATACTGTTAAAAAAAAAAAAAAAAAAAAAAAAAAACAAGGAGTACAAAAGGCACAGGGAATTTAAATGCTCCTACTCCTTCAGTGCTCAATAACTTGATGACATGGGAAACTTACCTCAACTTCATCACTTTCATTTATATCTTTATTATAACCTACAGGTGGTGGGAATCTCACATCATGGAATGGAATCTGCCTCTCTGGCTGCCAGCTGCAAATAAGCAAACACAATTATTTAACAAGCTTGTTGGTTTAATAGAAACAATGACCATGATGCCATCAACTTTGGTTAAATGTGACCCTCTGCTTTTCTAATTTAATGAAGCAAATGCTTTAAAACTGTCAGTGTTTTGCTGAGTGGGGCAAAAGGGCAATAAAGATACATCTCAACAAAGTCTGCATGCAGCACAGGAGCCTTGTACTTCTATTTGGAATATTTCTTTAAACACAACAGATCAACATTACAATTTTCCAAACAAGTTTTTTCTTTTCATTAATTACAACCTCTAAAAGTTCTAAATGTAAGGTCACAACAGCAATTTCCTTTGATGCTTAAATTAAATATGTTAGTATTAGTAAATGTTAGTAATACCATCACCATACTTCTAATTGCAAAAAAATTTTAACCACATTCCAATTACCACAGAAACTGGTACTAAATGCCATCTAATTCCCAAGCAAAATGGGGCAGTAAGCACATTAGCAATTCAGAACTCACTTTTCCCTATTTAAATTTTAGATCCCACGATGTGGCCAATTCTTGCCATGGATAGCTGGCGGCTGATCAGTATGGTGGGGCCTGATGGGGTCTCCTAAACCACAGAAACCCAATGGAGACAGCCTATAGAAGTTCAGTAAGTTGCCTATGTTTTTTTTAAATGATATGGAACAATTTTGGAAAACACCAAATTATTCTTTTATATTCACAATGATATAAAACACTAAAAGACAAACTTAAAAACAAAACAAAACACTGGAGGATTCAACTGCTAGAGCAGTTGTTTCTGGTTTTTGTTTTGTTTTGCTTTTTTTACTAAAGAGCTTTCTTAGTAAAATCCTACTGAGAAAAATACATTTTTTTAAAAAAAAAAGAAGAGCCATTATGTAAGACAGGAGGATAGTTAATTAAGTCAGAATGTGTGGAAATTTGATGAAGACCTATATTAGACTGAGCCCTTTAACTACTATTATACATACTTGAAAACTATAAAACAAAAAAATTATCTTTACCTCAGGGAAGCCTTTTTCAACTTACTGAAAACCAATGACTTTTAACATATTATAAATCATTGCTAAATTCAATTTGTAAAGCAAGTATAATACATGATATAATTTTCTTGGTTCCTAGGATATTTTTCCTGTTGATCTCCAGAGACAGTGAAAGGGAGAGAGGAGGAAGATAGAGAAACAACCACATGAGAGAGACACATCAGTTGGCTGCCTCCCACACCCTACTGGGGCTGGGGAAATTGCAACTGAGGTGCATGTCCTTGACTGGGAATCAAACCTGAGAGCCTTTGGTCCACAGCCCAGAGCTCTAAACACTGAGGCAAACCTGCCAGGGTAAAAAAATCAAATTCTTTATTCAAAATATATGAACTAGGGAAGGTTAAAAAAATACATGTAAAAACAATTTTGTATTACAGTAATAGGAGGTTATGATTGAAAAGAAGAGTAAATATAGTACAAAGTTCCATAAAATATTAGTTGTTTTTCTGTTTAAAATAAAACAAAGGTGCCTCGTTTGCGCAGTAGGTAGCACATCAGTCTCATAAAATAAAACAAAAAGGGGCAAAGAGCCGAAGCTGGTTTGGCTTAGTGGTAGAGCATCGGTCTGTGGACTGAAAGGTCCCAGGTTCGATTCTGGTCAAGGGCATGTACATAGGTTGTGAGCACATTCCCAGTAGGGGGTGTGCAAGAGGCAGCTGGTCCATGTTTCTCTCTCATCGACGTTTCTAGCTCTCTATCTCTCTCCCTTCCTCTCTGTAAAAAATCAATAAAACATTTTTTTAAGGGGGGGGGGTGGCAAAGAGATTACTTTGGTAGGGACCTAGCAAGTCCTGGTGATATGCTTACATACAGCGTTGACTCTAAAACATACTCTATGAATTCAAGGAAAAACAGTTTATTTCAAATTCCAGAGATGGCAGGTAGTTTGAAGAGAAATTTTTATAGAGCTATAATACACAAGGGAAGTAGTAGGTCCAAAGATATAATAATTTTAAGTTTATAGAAATTTGATTGAAAACAAGAGAAATGATCCGATAAATCAGTGTGTAAACTAATTCTTAAATGCAGAAGAAATGACTATTTGCTTAATACTCTATATCAGTGGTCGGCAAACTCATTAGTCAACAGAGCCAAAATATCAACAGTACAACATTAGAATTTCTTTTGAGAGCCAAATTTTTTAAACTTAAACTTCTTTTAACATCACTTCTTCAAAATAGACTCACCCAGGCTGTAGTATTTTGTGGAAGAGCCACACTCAAGAGGCCAAAGAGCCGCATGTGGCTCACGAGCCGCAGTTTGCCAACCACGGCTCTAGATTAAGGACTATAGGAGAAACTAAGAGTGGCAAATAAAGATAACTTTCCTTTTATGGGAAACAGTGTTTAACTAGTGATTGGAGCAAGGAGTAAGAGTATAATTATGAGAAAAAAAATTACTCTCCAAGTTATCAAAGATTCCTCCACTAGAGGTGTAATGCTATTATTTCGTGTATAACAATCGATACCAGAAATAGCAGAAATGCAGATTCTAGAACATTTGGCTCTATGTATACAGAGAAAGGTATTCTAATTTGGACTGAAATTATTAGTCTAGAACTAAGAACAGAGTCCGATACACTAAATCCTTTTCTCTCTGTCCCCCTAAATGTGTTTTAGGGATCAGAGTATACTACTTTGCCCCGTTGGTAACTAAAAAAAATATGTGAACAATCTAATTACAGTACGTCTGGATCAGATATTATATTTTAACAGACTTATTGAGATATATAATTAACATATTATATAATCCATCCACTTAAGTGCATGTACAATGTAATGGTTTTAAGTATAGTCACAGATATGTGCAACCATTACCAGTCAATTTTAGAACATTTTCATCATCTCAGTAAGAAATCCTATACTCTAGCTGTGGCTCCCTATCGCCCCAAGTGCTAAGCAACTACTAATCTATTTCTTCTCTCTGTAAATGTGTAATTTTCTTTTGAAGTACTATTTTTTGAAAATATATTTTATTGATTTTTTTACAGAGAGGAAGGGAGAGAGATAGAGAGCTAGAAACATCGATGAGAGAGAAACATCGACCAGCTGCCTCTTGCACACCCCCCACCAGGGATGTGCCCGCAACCAACGTACATGCCCTTGACCGGAATCGAACCTGGGACCTTTCAATCTGCAGACCGACGCTCTACCACTGAGCCAAACCGGTTTCGGCTTTCTTTTGAAGTACTATTAATTCCCTTGGTATATAAAAACCAAAATGTTATCATTGTTGACTATACTTCAGTAAAATCCTAATATCATGACCATGTCTACACTACAGTAAAAGAGTTTGTATGTACTTTAGAATCTTGGATGGCTACTCTGAAAATAGCCTTTAATAGCAATAAAAAATCTTAGTAAACATAGATACAACAGACTGACAGTTGTCAGATGGGAAGAGGTAAGGGGGGCTGGGTGAAAAGGATGAAGGAATTAAGCAGTATAAATTGGTAGTTACAGAATAGTCACAGAGATGTGGATTACAGAATAGGGAATATAGTCAACAGTGTCATAATGACTATGTGTGGTCAGGTGGGTGCTTGGACACTCTGAAAAGTGTAGGATTTTTCTGGCCACTTTTCTGTACATTTGAAATTGATACAGAATAACACTGAATGTAAAATGTAATTGAAAACAAGTTTTAAGCAAGAGACTGATCTCCCTAAATAAAATAGCATCTACATTACTGATACTTTTGTATAGATAATATTCCTAGACCTATAAATATGATGTTTACTCATCCAGCAGAAGAAAGCAGAAAAGATCAGTTACCACTATTTTTGAATATCAATATTAGTATATGTAACAAGTAAAAAATAAGGGGTAAACATGATTATATCCAATAAAATATACTAGAAAACTAAAACCACTAATTTTAGATTAAATGTTACAAAACTCACATCAATTTTACCAATACCTGTGAATCCATTAATTTTCATCTTTTAACAATACAAAAATTCCTATCCAAACTCTCAGTTATTAATAGAGAAGGATCTGGTTTCTTTCTTCACATTCAAGGAAACTGAGATGTAAGGATCAAGATTACACAAAAGGAATTTCTGAGGTCATTAGCGGGAACAGTTTTTCCATTGGTTTAATACTGAATTGTTCAGGAACTTCCTGGTCAGTAACACGAAGATCCATTCCTGAAAAACACTCAAACTAGACTTGAATTTTTTAATGAGGAGTAAAAGGAATAATTAGCATAAAATATTAAAGAACCTGAACACTAAAATTATATCAAGACACTTACTTGTTTTCAAATGCAACTGTTATTGAATCTTCATGAACGTCCTTTACAAAGGCCTGTAAAAACAAACAGTTAAATTACCTTCTAAACTTGAAGATCTTTTGTTTTTAAATTTCACAGATACAAAAAAAAAATTATACCAACACCAAATATTTTATGTTTAAGAATAAAACGGAGCCTGGCTGGTGTGGCTCAGTGGTTGAGCATTGACCCATGAACCAAGAGGTTTCCAGTTCAATTCCCAGTCAGGGCATGTGCAGGGGCTGTGGGCTTGATCTCCAGTGGGGAGGGAGGATGCAAGAGACAGCCCATCGATGTTTTTCTCTCATTGATATTTCTATCTCTCAATCCCTCTTTCTTCCTCTCTAAAATCAATACATATTTTTTAAAAGCATAAAATGGAGATTTAAATGAAAGTTTGTTCATTTTTTGAGAATAACTCATTCATGAATCACATCTATATGTAGTCACCTGTTCTGTGCTAGGCCCTGGGACTATTTATTAGTTAAAACAAAACATGAAAAAACTACTCCAGAGTTCAGTATCTAATAGGAGAAGTAGTGAGTACAAAGCTGGAAGTATACTTTAGACTACAATTATTGGAAACTATAAAATTTGTTCCAGAGCCCTTAGCACAGCTGTTGTAACATATCTTTTCTCCTTAAAAAATGTTGGTATCTATACTAATAATAGAGGAATATGCAAATTGTCCAGGACACCGTCACAGTAATGACCAAACAACAGGCTGTGTGAGGTGACCAGGCAAGCAGGAATATTAGTGAGGGACTACCAAACAACTGAACAGCAGTCTGCGTGGGCGACCAAACCAGAAGGGGGGTTAGTGAGGGATGACTGAACAGCAGGCTGTGTGGGGCGACCAGGCTGGCAGGGGGGAGAGTTGAGGGCAACCATGCTGGCAGTGGGGGGCAGTTGGGAGCAACCAAGGTGGCAGAGGGGGGCAGTTGGGTGAGCACTTTGGCAGGGAGGAGGAGGGTGCAGTAAGGGACGATCAGGCCAGCGGGAGTGGGGCAGTTGGGGGTGACTAGGCTGGCAGGGGGGACAGTTAGGGGCCATCAGGCTGGCAGGCAGGTGAGCAATTAGGAGCCAGCAGTCCCAAATTGTGAGAGGGACTGGGCTTAAACTGTCAGTTGGACATCCCCCAAGGGGTCCCGGATTGGAAAGGGTGCTGGCTGGGCTGAGTGAATGCAGTCACATTTAGTTATTACTGTACTAGAATCCCGGTGAATTTTATGCACCGGGCTTCTAGTACAGTAATAACTAAACGTAACTGCAAACCTATATATACACAAGTATACCAAATTTTCTTTAACAACAATATACTTCTAATATCACTAAAATGCCCTATTACTAGAGTTTAATTAAATTCTCAATCTCATATGTACTTGGAGAAAAATATAATAATATAAAGCACAGAGGTTTAACTCTTTAAAATCTGATACAATTGCTACCGTGTTTCCCCGAAAATAAGATATCCTCCGAAAATAAGACCTAGCGCATGGAAAGATAAGACATCCCCTGAAAATAAGACCTAGTGCAACTTTGGGAGAAAAAATTAATATAAGAAATTGTCTTATTTTCAGGGAAACAGGGTAGTAACCTGCAGAAAGTAATAGCTAATTATGGGGAATTAATCAGTATGCTGTCCATAATTATGTAAAATGACAAAAAAGTAACAGCTAATTCATTATTAAGAATTTGTTAATCAGCATGCTGTCCGTAATTCTGTGAAATTAAAGTTTTTTAACAGGGGTGGAATGTTTTGTTTTTGTTTTCTGACAAGTAAAGGAGGACAAACCATAAAGAAACCCAAGGAGCTTTATATCTTAATTCATTTTATAATGGCTTGAGAGATTTAAGCTTCTTACTCAAATTTATTCTGTACTTTTCTCTTCGGTAGTGTTTCCCTACCTGCGAAGATCATGGCCAAATTCCTCTGGCTGTAAAAGTCCTTTCATGACCTGGCCCCACTGCTTATCTCTCCATGCTTCATCTTTCACATCCTTGGAGGTTGTGACCCAGCAGTGCTAAACTCCTTGGGCTTCTCTTTGTAAATGCTGTTTCTTCTTTCCAATTGTCCTTCCTTTTAACTTAGCTACTTCCTAATGGTCTTTTAGGTTTCAGTTCAGATCTCACCTTGTATTACAAAAACCCTGAAGACTAAGCTAAATTCTGTCTTCTTCATTCTTATACATCCTATGCTTATCATTTCTATAAACGTATCCCATTTATTACTACTGTCCATTTTCCCACTGACAGCAAACGTCATGGGGGTTAGGGCACAGGTCTTGAGTGACTACCAAAACTGTATGAGGACCACTGCCTAAGGGTTTCCTATGCTAACTTTGGAGGAAAGGTATGAGTGTTAGAGGGAAAGTGTGTAGATGTGTTGATCAGGAAGACATACAAGAAGATAAGGTTCCTATTGAGTTTTAAAAGGGAGAATTAGCACAACAAAAGGGAGTGGAGGTTAGGGAGGCACAGGCCCAGCCTAAGGGGCAGCAGGAACAAAGGCTTAGAATTGGAGAAATGGGTGTGGTAGAAGGGCCACTGCTTCTGTCTAAAGCTTTATGTTTTCATATTTTGGCAGTATAGTTGACTTTTGAACAACATGAGTTTGAACTGCATGGGTCCACTTACACATGGATTTTTTTCCCCAATAAGTACCTGTACTGTTTTTGATTCACACTGGAGACTGCAGATGTAAAAGGCCTACTATGCATTCATCTACACAATTTTATACAGATTTGAGCATCCAAAGATTTTAGTATTCTCGGGGAATTCTGGATCCGATCTCCCACAAATACCAAGGGAAAACTAAGTTTTGGGGGAGTCAAAAGTTATACACAGATTTTTTTTTTAATGCATAGAGGTTTGCATCCCTAACCCCAGGGTTATTCAGAGGTCAACTGTAATTAATATTAATTCCTTACTGTATATTAGATGCTGAAAATGTTAACACCTTTAGTAAGGTAAGAGAACTTTATTACTGCTGGAACTTTATTACTGCTGGATGAAAAACTGTTGCCATTAAATCAGGTGTCTTTCCAATACTATTGCCATTGTGTAAAACTGTGCCATCCACCTTAGCAGCCACTGGTCATATGTGACTTTCTATATTTAAATTAGTTACAATGAAATAAGATTAAAAATCATCCAAAACCGGTTTGGCTCAGTGGATAGAGCGTCAGCCTGCGGACTGAGAGGTCCCGGGTTCGATTCCGGTCAAGGGGCATGTACCTTGGTTGCAGGCACATCCCCAGTGGGTGGTGTGAAGGAGGCAGTTGATTGATGTTTCTCTCTCATTGATGTTTCTAACTCTCTATCCCTCTCCCTCTCTGTAAAAAAAAAAAAAAATCAATAAAATATATTTTTATATAAAAAAAATTAAAAATCAGTCGCCTGCTCATACTTGCTACATTTCAATTGCTCAATAGCCACACATGGCTTAGTGCCTACTGTAGGGGACAAAGTAAATAGAAACTATTTCTTTCATTGAATAAAGTTCCACTGGACAATACTGATTTAAAACATTTACAAATGTTGGGGATTATTTTCAAAACCACCTTAAAAGCACTCTGAAATCCATTATTTCATTGCTATATATATTTTTTTCTATTTGCCAAAAAGATATTACACAGTTTAATCAGATTCATTCACCACATTTGTCTATTTCCTAAATCAAACATTCCCTCAAAGTAGGAAGATGTACAACTGTTGTGACTATTTCAAACAAAACAAAACAAAACAAAAATGCTTTCAAAAGCTCTGAAAGCAATTCTTGATGTAGTGTCAGAAATGGTTTGCATAATCATCACAGCTTACCAGGGCCACTGCCTTTGAGTTAAGGAGGCTTATCTGTATATATAGATGGATATTTGTATGATTGTTCCTTCACTGTTTGCATATTAAGTAAACACAGAAGGCGTGTAACTAACTGGTTTCTTCGGCACTCATGCCAAGAACCGCCTCTTATGACTTCTAAGGCCTTTTGCTAAATTGTCACTTCCAATGAGGGTCCCATCTTTCTGTTTCTTATTATTTCTCCAATAACCCCCCCTTTTGGCCCTGTCTTTCCCTTACCCCAACATTCATACTCTCCCTTCCCTGGTCACTTCCAGAGCACTATCATACCACCCACCAGCAACTTGGAGAAGTACATTTTGCTGTAATTCCTATCTATCTATATCAAGCAAAATTGGTTTGTGGAGAAAATAGTCAAGTTGGTATTTGGGGAGGGGATCTCTGAGAGGTTATCCAAGAAGGCAGATTGAATGGGTTTGAATGACTACACAAAGGGAGCTGTACTGAATGAGCTGTAAGAATCAATAAACTTAGTGGCTAAAAATTTTGCTGTGAATGATATCTAGATTCAAAATCTTGATTCTATCACATCATAGTTGTGGAAATCTCCAAAAAGTGGTTTAGACCTTAGATTCCTCATTAATCTGCAAGTAAGGAACAGATACAGGGGAACAAGACCTGCCTTTTAATGCTGTTGGGAGTAATAAAATCACACATGTCCAGTGTCTAGCACAATGCCTGGCACATAGTTGTCTTCATTAATTTAGGGGTAAAGCATAGGGGAACACACTTTATAAAAGTTACGGAGCCCAGACTGGTTTGGCTCATTGGATGGAGCATTGGCCTGTAATCTGAAGGGTCCCAGGTTAAGTTCCCATCAAGGGCATGTACCTTTGTTGCGGACACATCCCGCCATGTGGGGAGTGTGCAGGAGGCAGCTGATCAATGTTTCTCTCTCTCTTCGATGTTTATAACTCTCTATTCCACACCCTCCCTCTCTGTAAAAACATCAATAAAATATATTTTTAAAAGATGCAGAACCGTAAGTGCTCTTGCATTTCAGAGTTACATCTCAACAAAATCACACTTTTAAAGATTTAAATATTGAATCCTAGCCACTAGACCACCAGGGACTCTAAAGATTTAAATATTAAGACAGAAATATAAATGGCTATTTCCTCGAAGATAGATAGTAAAAGGTTTTTTAGACTCTGAGAAAGAAAAAAGGCGATGA